ACTCGTTTTTAAGTCAAAAATGCAAAATGTCTTTTTTTCCTTCTCATGCTAAGGCCAGCCAGAAGAGAGACTTTCATTTGCAAGGAGGAGACTGGATTTCTCCTGAAAGCGAGGACAAAACTGCACTTCGACAAAGTATGGAAAAATATAGGTATGTATTTAATATACTTTTTTCCTTTTTTATAGATAATCATATGTACAGTATATATACACACATATATGTAAGTCTACAAAGAAAATTTAAAGGAATGTTTATACAATGTGGGCAGAAAGTTTTCTATCCATACTCTGTTTAGATAAGCAGTATATTTCAAACTGAGGACAGTTCTTATTAGCTTTTATGGAATGAGTATGTTTGGATTTTTGTTTCAATGACAGGTATGACTTAAATCTGCCTAATAAACCTTGTTAATCATGTTTAGACTAGTGCCAGAAAGGTAAAACACCTGGAAAATGTAAGACTTAGACATCCAAGTATTGGAAATAGGTAAAATTGTACCTCTGTGTTGAGAAAAGAAAACTCAAAAAACATACAGTATAGATGTAAATGAAGTCTACACTGCATATGAAAGCGGTGGCCATAACACAAGCAAAAATACTAAACCAACCTTTGGAGCAACAACAGGGGTTACACAGACCTCAACATCTCGGAAAAAGCAGCTGAAGCTGCTGTAGTTGTGTCTCTAATGTACTGCTTCCTAAACAGGCTCAGTTAAAAGATTAAAGATATCCATTCTACAGCTACATCTCTGTTTTATTTTGTATGTAGTCCAAATATTTCTTGTGAAAAATTGACATAAATATGCATAAAACCAGTCAAGGGAGGAAAAATACTTCACAGAGAGGGTTGACAGCAACCTCCAAAATCCTTCTCAAGTTTTAGCAAACTTTTAGTTCCAGGGAGTATAAAACAGAATTTACCAGCTTTACTAGGTTTTGTTTTGCAACTACCTCTTAACTGCTGTGATGTGGTGAAGACCTGCCTGGTCCCTAAGCCAGCAGTGCATCACGCAGCTAAAAAAGAGCTGGCTCTGCACAGACCAGGGTAGGGAAGAGAGGGAAAATCATGGGAACACGCAAGGCTACGTTAATAGTGCAGCTTATCATTTGCAGTTAATTACAGGCCTAGGTGTTTTTACCAAAGCAGTAAGTTCCCACTGGATACACTGAAACCTAAATGAACAGGAAGAATGCTTAAATCTTGCAGTTTTTTTTATTTAAACAGTATATTAAAAAAAATCAAAATAATTGCAGTATTTTTAAATAATAATATATTTGGAACCATTTCCAGAGTATTATAGAAGATAGTTTTACAGAAGAAAGTGTGTTTTTTGGAGATAAAATTGCAATTCTGTGATTTGACAAAAACAAAGAAACTCAAGCTCCATTATGCATGAGTGTGAAGACATGTAGAGATCATTCTCCATTCAAAAGAAGCTGCTGGTGAATGGGCCTTGATGGTTCACAGTGGAGGGTACAAGTACTTTGTCACAAATATCAGCTGAATCTCTACCAGAACTACAAAACAACTCTAATTTAATGCCTTGATCCCTAGAAACTATAAGCAACTCTTAAATTAGGCATATACTCAGGTTCTTCTACTGAAAGAATCCTTCTGTTCAATATGAGCGATAAAATCTCWTATTTTTTTTCTTGGGACAGGGAAAATGCAGGAATGTTGCCCCAACATTCCTTTACTAAGGAAAATACGGAACTTCTCAGTGAGTTAATGTGAACAGCAAAGAGAGTCATCTTGAAAACCCCAGGTTCAAGAAGCAGTCCTGTTTTCAAGAGACAAAGCAACAGAAATTGGCTGGGCTGAAGAATGCCGTAACTCAAGAAGGAACTTCAGCCCTTAGGTAAGCAAATGTCTAGCTATCAAATTTAACTCCATTATTTAATTGGAAAACTGTTCGAAACTGGAAAGATCCTGAATAGAAGAGGTATGATATATGATTGAATATTGTAAGTAATGCTAACATCCCATCTGGGCATCAATTAGAGCAATAACAAAAGGAGGACAAAATGGGAGGCAAGAATTTAAGTTTGTCATACTGAGCCTAGTCCTGAGGGGATGCTCTGAAAACTGAGTCACCTTCTACAAGTTTCTAACTCAAACAATAGCTAGGATTTAAGTTAATGGAGCAGCTATCCTTTGTAATAAGCCTAATAGTACGTACAAGAGGGGGAGAAGAGAATCAAAATACTTATCTCCTGCACAGTGTAGCTGCCCAACCTGATCTTACTGCCTTTGGGGGTTCAGTGGGTTTTAGCTCCAAAATGACATTATTTTCACCCCAGTCAATGACAGCCCTTCATTATTGTCTTTCCTTCTGGTCTTTCTATATGCTYCTGGATAAAAACAATCCTTTAATTTGAGACACAACAGGGCTACAGCTCCTACCTCAAAATTAAAACATTACTGACAAAATAAGAGGCTGGAGAGTTGACTTGGAAACGCTATCAGTTTCTACAACCCATGTTAACTTACGCTGGAAGGAGAGAGGGAAATGCATTGGCAAATACTCCCTGGGCTCCCAATGTTCACTCATACAGGAAGTTTTCTGACTACATTCTGCCATGGATGATTTATACACTGTATTTTTAAGCAATGAATTTGTCTGATTCACACCTATAGATACTGTCTAACATCCAAAAATCTTTTTTGAAAGGCTAGTAAGAAAATCTTGTTTTCTTACACAAAGAACAAGAACAGAAAACTTCAARGGCCTTTCTATAGGTTTGCAGAGCTTTTATGGAGTGGCTAACAAAAAAAAAGTATTTCATTCCACTTTCATAGCACGGTCCTGCATTTTGTGTTACRGAAGAAAACCCTAGTTCCCCAAGCTCAGTTAAGACAGTTTGTGCTTTGTTCCCCGAGATGACTGTCTTTTCTTCCTAAAAATTATTCCTTTGAACCTATTTAAGTTTTGTTTTTMACTAGGAAACGTCTCTCTGACTTTAAAAAGATAAACAAGCCAAATACATCAAAACCAAGCCTTCACTCCTAGCCTAGACGTAGACACACATATGCTTCATTTTATCTTCCCATCCTTCTTTCCTTGGGAAAGGCAACAGTATTGTCTTCATTTCATACCAAAGGAGATTTTAGATCTCTCTCAAGAGTGATGGATGAAAAGCTCAAGAATTCAAAATTTAAATGCATCTTCGTATCATCAATAGAAACTCTTCTYGGACGGAGCCAGTAACAGAATTTCACACTGAATAATATGCTGGATCACTCAGTGTTTCTCATCTACTCAGAAGTTCAACAGTTGACCAAAAATGCTGGGAAATAAAGACCTATCAAGGTTGCCAAAATTGTAACAAAGAGGTGGTAAGCTGAATTATGGTAAGTTTTCAGGTAAGTTTGTTTGAGAACAGTCCCTCTAAAACCTTCCACTTGCTAATAACTTTGCAAACCAGCAGCTCATTAAGACTTGGGCACGTCCAAGCCCACAACTGTCTCATGAGCAGTTTCTTCTCTCCAGAGCTCAGTTCCTAGCACTTTCTAAGGAAAGGCAGGGCAGCTGGATCCACTTCACATGCCACCCTATTCCAAGCAAACAAATCCATCAGTTTCACACCTAAGACATACATATAAGGATACCAAAGGATAACACTAAAACCGTTTTTACAGGCTTTTTTGTTCTTTCACTGATCAAGATAGCTCCGAGATAAGATTTTACTGTAAGCAGAGCAACTGCTAGATTTTACCCTTGTTTCTCTCGTTTTAGAAAATTATGGATGGCAGTTCACTACTATAAACACACACACACACACACAAAAAAAGCCAATTCTTTCTTTTTCCTCCAGCTCTTGTGCCTTTACTATATATATCCCTTCAAACAAGGGCAATCCTCTTACTTCACCAAGCCTACCTTCATAATTTGCTACTAAGTGTACTCAGTAATTATATCTGTCTTTTATAATGTTTGACATCAGGAGTAAGACAGCATTTTATTTTTCCAAAGCTAAGCAAGTCTTTTTTTTTATTATTATTAAATCCTCCATTTCTCAATGATACTACAACTGACAGACAAATGGGAATACTTGATCTCCTGTCTGTGGATAAAGGAGAATCCTTATCCTCCTGTGCACATGTAAATGAGCATTTCGGAAATGCCAACATAAAAAGCTTTTCCGAGTGGCCACCTCTCTATTCTTTCTGAATGCCTAGATGAGAAGGCTGAAGATATTCAGGGTTTTTTTTTCCCCCACATAGGTGTAGTTTTCATGACACTATTTTTGAGACCACAAAATAAGTCTATCCGTAAATATCCTTAAACATTTTGTAGCATTGTAGCCTTCATAACTTCAAGGTCTGCAGGTTCAGCCTTGCCTAGTCACATGAGCAAATTCAAATCTTTTGCTTCCTCTCTCACCTTTATTTGATTTTACCAGCCAAGCCTACACCACTGCACGTACCAGCCTTCTCCTATGTGAAGCACTTGCTTTCTATCTACTAAGTATTTGCCTTCTATCTACCAAGTATTTCCACTGCCTAATTAGAAGTGCACCTGACACAGCAGCTAGARACTGCTGAGAATTCACTATTAACTTAAAATCAGTGTAAGGAACAACTCATGATTTGTCTCAGCAAGCAGCTAAGCCACAGTGCTTTGAATGCGTGACCCAGCTTAATTTCAGTGAACAAACTTACCAGGTAATCTCCAAGACCAAAACACTTACCCAGCGTTTTCAGAGTCACAACAGCTTCAAAAATTATCTTGTTTTGTGTTTTATTTTGTTTTAAACTCTATGCATTACCTACTTATATACTGAGGAAGAATTAACACGCACGGAATTTTAATTCCACTCACTTTTCACAAGCTTCTGACTGGCCGTTTGGCAAGTTGAATCATTTTACTCCCTTCCAACCCATTCCTGTCCCTCCAAACCCTTGTCAGCTTGTCTTTCTCCCCACTCTTGTGCAATGCCAAGCCACTGCTTTGGCAGCTGTGGCAGCTTTAAAATCTGAAGTGGGGGGAGGAACTTACACTGGTCACTCGTCGGTAGATCTGCGCAGCATTTTGGCACTCAGAATAAGGATACTCAGACGTGGCCATCTCTAGCATACACATCCCAAAAGCATATACATCAACGGATTCATCGTATTTCTCCTCATACATCTCGGGGGCCATGAACTCTGGGGTACCTTAAATTAAAAGAACGATTCAGACTCTAAATGTCTCAAAGCGAGCAGAGGCTGCTGGCGTTACTCACCGCAGGGAGAAGCGGCTGGGCAGACCTGTGAGACAAGAGAAAGTGGAGGCAAAAAGAAGAGGGAGGAAACCCTTAGTCACTCTGTTGCATCAACGTACTCTGAGAGTCCTGCATTGCAAGGCCTTTCTGGAATAAGAGTGTCGTGGAAGTGCTGAGGCAATGCCTGCTTTACGTGTGTTACTCAATGCCGTTATGAAAACGGATTGGATCGAGCTGGAGTCGAATGGAGAGGTGGGGAGAGAAAGAGGGGAAACCAGTCAGACTAGCCATAGGCTGCAAACCAAATACTAAGGAGAGTTAAGGCACTTACCTTTTCTCCCTGTAAAAAAAAAAAGGAGGCGTATTAAACCTGGTTTCAAAAATTACCTGACGGTCCTCTGCTGCAAAAGAAATAGCATTGGTGAGAGCCCACAGCTAGTCTCTGACCTCGTGCTCGCCACTTACTCTTTTAAGCAGAATGGTTCAGGAAAGGCCTTGCAATGAAAAACTCTTAAAAATATAAATCTTCATGAGAAAGATGAAAAAGTAATTTTCTGCAAAGGCCACTCACCACAGCCCTTTTCTTCATATACTTACCTCCCCACCTGCAGTATATTTATAGGCCTACTGCAGATACAGGCATTAGTGAGGGACATCCTACAGTCAAAAATACTTAGAAATACAGAGAGATTGAGTTACAGGCACAGAGCGTGAGATTCAACAAGTCCCATTTAAATAGTTTGCAGAAAATTATTGCCCAGTGAAGCATCAGAGCAGCCCCCTCTGTAAGCAAAGAGATGGAGTTGGATGATCAGATTTACTTTAAGCCAGGGATGCAAGTTTGCTTTTTGAAAATTTAAGCACGGAATTATTTCCTGCAGATACCAGATTCAAGACAATTTACAGATCATTCAATACAACCACATTGCTTGTTTTGACCATGCTAAACCAAAAACAGAATGTAATTGTAGCCAGTTATCCAAAGGCTAACTGTTGATGATTAACAAGATAAGAAGTGATAATCTTCCAATTAAAAGTTTAAGGATAAGACAAAAATGTTTAAGAAAATTTATCAATATAGTATATACTTCACTTCTATTAATAGTTCCACCTGGTTAGGAAGCAGGAAATATTTTAGTGATAGTTCACAAGACAATTTACAGGTGTTTATCATTTATCCCATCAAGGATTTCAATATAGGACTGTTGAGCAATTTTGCATTTTAGCAAGCTTTAAATATTAGGAGCATGAAGAACAACTTAATACCCTGCAACCTATTCAAACAACTATAAAAACAAAGCTGATAAAACCAATTCTTCAGAAGAGTCACAAGAATGACTAGACTGTTTCCATCCACCCAACAGCCACTTGACACGGGCCATTAGTGAATGTTTAAGGAAGAGAACAGAGCAAACATAAGGCAATACTTCCCCAATACATCCTGCTAACGTACGGAAATCCACATTCTAGGGACTTCCCAAAGGTGACAGCATATTACTATCTTTGTATTTAATAGTTTTGGTCGACTTTGGTAACTTTAGTTTCTGCCTCTATGCAAACTAAAGTGCAACAGATGGAACATCGCCGCTTGGTGACAATACAAAGAATTTGGCTGTACAAATTAATGCTAGGCTAAACATTGAAAGAGGAGCTATGTCACCAAAACACWGTTGTACATTTCTTGAAACACTGCTCAGATTTACATGTAGTGAAGCAAGAGTGGTTTTATCAACAATGTTGCACTAAACCATTGGGCAAGAGAAAAAAACATATATTCCAATGTCAACATACAAAAGCACAACTGTAACACTGGCATATAATCTCATCAGAAACACTGAACGACCTCAACAGCCCAGGAACAAAGCCTGCACTTTTGGGGACTTTGACCGTGTACCTTTAAAAACTTTCTTAAAAGACTTAAGTTTCCAAGTAGGTGGGACTGGCTCAGCAGCCTGTAGGCCAAGAGAGACTTACCTATCACACTTTTGGCGAAAGAAGCTCGTTTCAGAGTGGCCAGACCCAGGTCTCCAATCTTGACAGAGCCAGTGGGGCCAGTAATGAAGATGTTGTCGCATTTTAAGTCTCTGTGGATAATGGGAGGGGTGCGCGTGTGCAGAAATTGCAAGCCTTTCAGGATCTGGCGGCACCAGCTTCGTAGCACTTTGATTTTCATCACTTTAAATCTTTTCAGATACCTAAAGAAAATGTAAGAGTAAGTTACACACGCTCAAAGGTTGGTTGCTACAATATGCAGGCCTTGCTGAGAAGCATACAAATACTTAACATTGTGTTCATCATAATATCACATTATCTACTCATTTAAGAGTTTGCTCAACCTTTTATGCCTAAAGTGCTTTAAGCAGTTACAGCATTTTCCCTGCCTAAATACAAGAGGATGGAAGGAGGAAGAGGCAGAAAAGAGCAAACAAGCACTACAGATTCAATAAGGTAAGGAGCTGTTGAAAATGGTGCAAAACCTGTGAAGTCAGAACTGCCCAGACTGACCGTTAGTCTGAGCACCTTGGCCTAGGATGCCCGGCTGAACCGGAAGGCTGCTTCAAAACTACTTGCTGAGTTTACTCAAGCAATTCAGCAATTCACAGAGATGCTTCCCTAAGGGAGGAGAGGGTTTGGTCACTTGAACTGGACTGCCACTGCTCACTACTTCAGAGAAATAGAGCTTGGGGAGGGCAAAAAAAGCAGGCCGAAGCAAAGCAGATCTTACATAGACTCGGCCAAAGAACTGGGGCGGAACAGCTTCTGCATAAAGTGTCACTGTGTCTCTTTGCTGGAAGAGCGTGGCCTAGAACTGCTCTAACATCCGTCTCTTTTAAAATCCATAGAAGATCAGTCAAATTTGATCCCCAAAATGCTTGTGACATAAGAGTATGCTCTTATTCTACCCCTTCTTTAACAGATTGGAGAACCTAGAAAATGAGCCACCTATCAGAGTATCCAAATGTTTTCTGGCAGCACAGCAAGTGGTGAATGGGTCTTAAGCTGATATATTCTCAGACTCTCTCTTCGTGTATATCCATTTAAAGCAAAGAACTCCTTTTCCTTTTCTTCCTTTATAAAAATKTGGACTAAAATACGTGCTGAAAAGGAATTGTTAAAAAATGGGCTTTGAGAAGAGAGGACTTGAATTCTTACTCAGCTAACATTGCTCAGTTCAAGCCTAACCAGTTATAAAACACAGAAAGACTGGTGGCAAATTCAGTCACCACTATGAGGTTTAACAGTTATAATCTTAGAGTAAAACCAAGGCAGGTACATCAGCCAAGGCAGCGTTTGTTTTCTACATAKCCTCTTGATGAGGAGAACAAATCCTGATTAAATCACTTGGACTAATGCCAACATAAAAACTCRGGGCGTTAGTAATCCCTGTTATTTTAAATTTCTCCAGTTCAAAGATAGTCCTGGAAATTAAGTTGCTAGAAGTTATCTTGCTGTGGAAGTAGATCTGTAAAAGCAATCAGGACCGAGTTCCAAACAGAAATCACAAAACAGAATGTAAAGAAAGGCAGGGGAAAAGCCAAGCCAAGGAAGGAGACAAACCAAAAGGGGCTCTGGATCCCGTCAACTACCACTTGAATTTTTGCTATTGACACAACTCTCATTCATGTCTCTTGAGCCCGTTCCAAGGATCACATGGCAGGGGCACTTCAGTTCAGCATTTGGAATCCCTAATGACATTCTTGGTTTCAAATACACTAGTCTGCTGCCAGCTTCTCACTCTTAAAGGACCTGGGCCCGGGCCGTCACACAGCGTCCTGCGGCGCTGCTGTCATTTTTCCAAAACATTGTCATGAACTAARTCACATGTCACTTGAGGCAGGAAACATTTTAAAATGAAATCATGCATAAATATATGAAGGCAAAAGATCAGCTAGCACTTTCCTTTTTCTCACAGGTACAGAACACCTCAGGTTGGAAGGGACCTCAGGAGGGCTCAAGTCCAATCTCCTGCTCCAGGCAGGCTCAGCCATGAGGTCACATCAGGTTGCTCATGGCTTTATCCAGTCAGGTCTCAAAAATCACCAAGGATGGACACAGAGCAGCCTCTCTGAGCAAGCTCTTCCACYGCCTGACCATCCTCATTGCAAAGAGGTTTCTCCTTAAGTGCAATTTGAACTTAATTCATGCCCGCTACCTCTCACTCCTCACCATACTGCAATGTTAAGAGCCTGACCCATGCTCTTGACCTCCCCATGGGGACCAGACCACTCTTCAGTGTTCCCCAGGCTCCATCTCTCCAGCAAGCTCAGAACCCTCAGCCTCTTCACACTGGAAYTGCATCAGTCCCTGGCCACCTTGGCGGCCCACTGCTGAACATGCTCCCATKTAATCGGTGTTGTTCCTGTCTATTTTACCAGGTAATAGTGAATAACATATACATATATGTATATCTTTGCACAAAATGAAAGCAAAGATGAGAATACAAGGCTGTCTTAACAAATCACACAATGGTTGAGGTTGGAAGGGACCTCTARAGATAATCTAGTCCAACCCCCCTGCTCCAGCAGGGACATCCAGAGCACAAGGCACAGGGTGGCATCCAGGTAGGTTTGGAAGATCTGCAGAGAAGGAAGAACTAGGAGGTTAGACTAGACCTTCAACGAAGAGAGAGAACTGGGAACTAAAATTTGGCTTTCTCCATCATCCTCTTTCTTAGCCCAAAGGTTGCTGGTCTATGGTAACATTTAGTCTCTGCAAGCCAGAGAAAGGCTAATAAGTTAGCASAGACAGCTGTGACATTATGTGTCCTACCAGAAACCTGCCCCATTCACATATAGCAGAAAGGGGGCATACACTACAGTGGCCTTAGGAGAAAACACTTATGGCTGACATTAAAGTTAGAAGAAGTCRTCGCCTTCATTTGCAGTACAATTAAAACCAAAACTAACAACTGAATTCATTTTTTTTTATCAATATTTTAATTCCTTGCTAGTATACATTACCAGTAAGTAATTCCATTTGTACAATWCTTGAGTTGTGTGTTTTTCTATTGCTGTGCAGAAGTTCATGACAATTTTGTGTAGAATTAGAAATTTGCCCCAAAGGATGAATCCACAATTTTTTTCTCTACATTATTTATGTGTCTCTCTCTCTCTATATAGACACATTTATATGTACATACAAATATATATATATTTATGTATATATATACACACACATGTTTATATATATCCACACACATTTATATATATGCATATTTTTATATAGCTATATATATATTATATATATATTTATATATGTAAATAGAAATAGGCAAAAAATGCTAAAGCATCAGAAAAAGTTACTCCAGGATGCCACCACACTTTTCTTGTGTTGGTAACCCTTTTGTTCCTTCATCAAGCAGCTACAGTACCCATGTCCCACACCTCAAAAAGAGGAGAACATTATYTGGATTAAAAGAAAATATGATAAACATATTGAAAAATATGTAAGTGACACTTAGTTGACTTTCATAGCAAAAGCCAAGGTTGCAGTATACATATAGCAATATGGCACAACTGGCACAACGAACAAATTTCATCTTTAAACAGGCGAATCGAAAGAAGTGTAAATCCTTTATTTCTGCCCTGAGCACGGGACTTGAAGCAGTTACTTTAAGTATCTTAAAAATAAACTCCAAAAAGTCTTCCCTGAACATATATACGTACAGAAAATGGCTGCATCTTCTACTTCTCCAGTACTATTTCAAGAGACAAGCAGTTCCCTATAATTGCAGCCCAGAATCCCCACGGACATTTTTTCCTGCTTTAGGCATGGCCATTTGTGGCTATCAATAAGCATCACCAAAAAATAAAAATAAAAAAGCACCAAAGGGGGAAAGCAAAAAAAAAAACACCGAGAAAGCCACAGGACATTCAGGCTATTTATACAAACGGATTGCAAATTCTTTCCAGTCTCTACAGGCTGCTCTGAATGCCTCTGAGACGTAAATGGTCCTGAATTAAAACAAATGCCCCACAATTCCTGAATTACAAGCTCTGGTGAGTTTATTTCCAGCAGATTACCTGTAACTCGATGTTCCCAACAAGTTCCCAGCCCTGCAAGTTTCTGGAGCACAAAGACGCAGGATTCAGGGCAGCCCCCTTCAAGCTTTGGCTACCACTAGAGGGCTCTCACAGCAGCTTAATTTGCTAGGGTCTCCTTGCCACTCTTCTGAAAATGACAGATTCGGTTTCACTCTGCCACTTCACAGCTTGAAATTCCAGGCATCCGCTTGAGTTTCAGCGGTGATTTCAGGTSTTTATTAGACACTACTCTGCAGAGTTTCTTCTCTGCATATATTATTTGTACTGTCATGACACCCAACGCTAGGAGATGAATTAGATAGGGTTTTGAGCTTTACAAAGCAGTTTGGGCTCCAAACCGAAGGTGGCTGGAGAGAAAATGAAAGATTTGGGGAGATTACACAATTACTACTCCTCGCAGTGCTTCCCCTTGACCAAAAATCTAYCTGGGTAACTTCAGCCCTCAGTAGAAGCATTCTGTCCTAACTCACCCAGACTATCATCTGTTTTCAGTGCTCTTTGTCATGTGTGTTGATGTGCCCACGCTCACTTACGTTTTCAGTGTTCCAGATGTCATGAGTTCCGTCACAAGAACAATACATTTTTTTCCTTTGACTGTAGACTCCCAGGAATCGTAGAACCGGACAATGTTGGGATGCTGGAGCCCTTTCAGCATCCCAGCTTCCTCTTTAAATCTTTGTCGCTCCGACTTGGACAGTTTCCGATCCTGGTGAGAAAGAAAAATAAGAAAACTTTGCTTTATTTTCTAGCCAGAGCAGAAAATAACCTGAAAATCGCACTGACAAATCTTACTTATTTCTACAACGTGTTCTCAGAGAGCATGTGTGCATAAATTAGGTATATATTTATACAATATATAAATATATATTTTATACACGCACACATATATATGCACGTATGTTTAGAAGATCTTTTGTTATTCCTATGCATACACTGTCCAGACCAGAWGAAACAGACCATGTTAACTCTCCACATAGGGAAAAAAGTATCAACCCCTAACACAAAGGACATAATAACAGAACAAGCAAATTTGGGTTAGATTTTACTTAAAAGCACAATTTCACAGCTGAGGGAATTTCTCCCGTAATCCAGTACCAAAGAAAATGGCAATAGAGAAGAACAGCCATCTTTTGGTGACAGACATATCATGAGAAGYCTTCCTAGATGTCACTGCTGCACCATCCCATAGGAGCCAGCTTTCCAGTACGGCTGAGCCCGGGAGCTGCTCGCACCAGCCTCACTTGCACATTCCAAGGGACTGGAGCCCCGGGCTGTTACTCAGTTTGGAAATGGAAAAATTTCCATTTCCACTCTCAGGTCGAGCAACTTGTAAGGTGAATCCATATGTAGGTAGTGTTAAAAAATATTTCAGCATGYGCTAAAAACTCAYGGGATTTTAGAATCATTGTTTCAAGCATGGTTTATGAATAACCGGTGAGTTCTTTTGTCAAATCTGACAGAGAACTGTAGGTCACTTCATTGCCTATTTCCCTTTCAATGGCGAGGAGGTGCTATGAATAAGCAGAGTGAACTTGCACTGTTTGCAACCTCCTATCGTCCCCCAGGGCTGCAATTCCTCTTCCTTTGTGAACGGTTAATGTGTTTTCTCAATACTGTTCAGCCATACTAATGTCTAAACCATCCTCTATTCATTTAGGGTATTAATTTTTTCCAGGGCGTGTACAGAGCATCTCTGGGCATGGACACGCCTGGATTCTTTCCAAATGAAGACCCTGTTTCCAGAACTGTAAAAGATTTCCAGCTAAAAGTCTGCAAACAGATTTGAATTTACTTTGGGATCAATAGCTTATCAGTGTTTATACGTAGCAATCACACATGCAGTTTTATAGTTCCAGTTAAGAAAATGTTGAAATCTTAAGTGCCACAAATTAAACCTATAGATATCAAAGCCGCAACTACTTCCCTCTGCAGAAATTGGCTCTACCATTCCTTCTCACTCATAGGAAAGTATATTTTAATATATATTCTACATAAACTTTAATTGAGTAGTATATGTGTGAGTGAGTGTGTGTGTGTGTATTTACACACAGATATGGTTTTATAAACTTTCAGGAAGCACATTAATTTAGGTAGTTATGCCTGCCTAGGTTATTTGAACGTGGGAGGTGGTCTTCCCACTCCMGCTGCCTTACACACCCAATACCTTTCCTTTCTTCACAATAAACAGGGCAGCACAAGCTCTGCTCAAGAGCAGTTCACTGAGTGTCACCTGCAGCTCTGAGACAGAAGAGCAGTGAGCTGCTAGAGACGCATCCGCCAACCTAGCACACACACAGGCTTCTAAATAAATTCATCAAATGAAATACATCAAACAGAATACAAAATTACAATAATCCTTTTTTTTTTTTTTACAGTAAAAAAACAGCACAGCATTCTCAGATTCTTCACAGGATCTATATAACTCACATTTTTAAACTACTGTATAGCTGTAAACCCAACCATTATACATGGCAATTTAAAATAATGAAGTTACTTCTAAATTGCTTTTAAATTTAGTTGGGTACTACGAATGAACCCCTGTGTTCATTTTGGTCCACAAACTAGATTTTAGATGCACATTTGGATTAAGTTTCCTTTATTTTGTGCTTTCTAACAAGCCATGTCCCACAAATAGCGCTAGTCATTTCTAGGCTACACTTAACATTAAGTTCTCATTTTAAGTAGCTAAATCTAATCTCTCTGCTAAGGACATCACTCAGTTTTCTCTACCCCTACCCTACCAGCTCCTGATAGCAACTAGCAAGTGCTCATCTCTCTTATCAAGAACCAGGCCCTAAAGGACAAGCAAATTTTGAGTCATTTCTCTTTCCGGTCACATCAACGGTATCATCATGTTCCTGCAAACCTATCTGTGACATTTGAAGCAACCCTCAACGCTTGAAGGGCAGCATTTAAAACATGCACGGGCAAACCGAGCCAAGCAATACCAAGTAATTTAACACTTCTTGGGAAGTCACGGTGCCCCAATGAACTGGGACGAGTTTGGACACAAACCGGGGCCAACAGCTCCAACTCTGRCAACAGCAGCTCTGCTTTTGCAACCAGGGAGACGCAGCATCTCACAGGAGCAAATTGCAGCAGCTTCAGCTCTACAGAGCTGTAAAGACGATGACCAAAGGGCCACTTGTTTCACCCAACTGGTAGCACATGTTAGCTCCAACAACCCTCTTCTCCTTGCCGACTGGACCCAAAAACTCATCCATAGCTGAGATACCAGTCTTCTTTTCCCAGAAGAAAAGMAAATGCCAGCTTTCTTTTAAAAACTGAGATAGCTAAAAAACTAATTTTCAAGATCACACACACAATTATACCACCAACATGTGCTGGCATACACAACGACCAGTTACACAAACTACACGCTTACTGAAACTTGAGAAGCATTTCAACCAGCTTAATGATTTAAGGGAAAATTGTGAGCACATTTTCAAAACCTGAATATTTTATTTCCCAAAACCTTGTGACCCATGAGTTCTAAGGCAAGATTTTCCTGTATGTTTAGAGATGGACTTGCACAAAGCCCCTGTCAAATAATGCATTTTGGCATCCTTTGAGCTGCTAGCATAGGCAAACAGGGCAACTTCTGTCTTAAAGGCAGGAGTTCCTCTTACTTGTATGAACACGCCACTTAAGCAGCTGCAGCTACTGAAACATGGAGAGAGGCAAAAAAAGAGAAGGGCATGTTTAATCTACAAGACTGAAAGATGGTTGTAGCAGCCCACRTTAGGTAGAAATTGCTGGGGAAAAACAGCAGAACGAAAACTTGCTATTGTAAAGAAACCGCGTGGATTTTGGGCAAGAGAGCACTTGCAGAAAGAAGAAAAGCTGTAATCCCTTGAAGAGAATTTAAAAGGATGTTTTTCAAGAATCTGGGAGGCACAGAGCTGCCATGATCCTCACTAAGGGGCATATTCAAAATCCCAGATCTACCTTTCCAAAATGCCGCTACCTGGGGCACTGTTGAGATTCCCCATGGACCGCACACGACAGCAGGACCCTGCAGGAAGACAACAGCCACCTCCTGTCCCAGCTCTAACCCGACCTCTATAGAGTGTGTGGCTTCACATTCAAAATAAGCTACCACGCTCAGCTGCTTCATTCAGTGGTGGTGCAAATAAACAGACCTGTCCCCTGAAGTCCTGTCCCTGTGGAATCCAGAGAGGTATTAACAGCTGCATCGTTCCCAAAGGGATTTGCTGTTTCGGTCCAGGAACAAAATGAGAGGTTTCAAACTTGAACATTCCTGCATCAAATCTGTGGGATGGGTTAAACCAGTTTAATGCTTTATTTCCTCCTTTTTTTTTTATTTTCTAAACCAAACAGCTAGAAATTAAGAGATAAATGAGATGCTTTCAGGCTGGAAAACGCATCCAATGATAAAGAGGAGGAATCACTTCAGGAACAGTTTGTGGTCTACAGTTTGATATATCCCGTCCTTCAGAAAGTTTGTTTTTTGGAATCGGTTTGTTTTGGAATCCCTACTGCTAACATTCAAAATAAATAAATGAATAAATAAGGCCCCGTCTTCCTCCAACCATTTTCTAAGCCTCCAAGCCGGCAAGCAGTCGCATTCCCGTTTCCCAACTGGCACAGGCCGAGCCTGGACGCTTAACAACACTGAGGCTGCCCAAGAGCGGGCAAGCTGGCCTCCTAAAATGGATTTCACCGGCGCCCAGACAGGAGGACCCCGCTCCTCCTGCACCGCCAGCTTCCCCCACCAGGACCGAGGGGCTGCATCCCAGCACCGCGCTCCCGCTCGGAACAAAGGGGAACAGATGCAGCAGGCCCGCTCGGCTCATTTCATTCATTCCTTCCCACCTCCAGCGAATTGCTCCGACGAGCCAGAGCAAACAGGGAGGCTTCCCGGCGCGTGCCGAGCGCCTCGGCGCTGCCAGGGCCCGCGCGGGCGCACGCAGCCGCCGGCGGCTCCGCACCGCTCAGCGAGCTGCTCCTGGCACACGCTGCGTTTGTCCCGGCACTTCCCTCCGCTTTCTTTTGGTCAGCAGGCAGCTCCCAAAGCTATTTATGTTATTTAGCACAAAACCAGGCTCTTGGTCATTCATGGTGCGCCCGGTACAGGCTTTACCCTTTCGCTGCTGAATTTAATTGACAGGAGGGATAGGCGGGAGGCTACACACAGAACTATCAGCCTCCTATTCCTGTGCCAAGGTGCTGTAGATAAACACAGAAGAAATTAACTGTTGTATCAAGCTCCAAAAAAACATAAAATTTTAAAATGGTGTCTATACTTATCCATTCAAAGTGCCTATRCTCATCCGGTGAACCTTTATGGCTTGAGGTCTATTCAGCCTGCTTCTTAGCTGAGGACAGCAAATACCATTCCTGACACCTAAACTAAATTAGGTTTCAAAAGGGCTGCTCACACACCATTCAATAGGTTCTAGTTAGTTTGCTTTTTTTTCCTCTTCAGTTTTCATTATTAACCTCCTGTAGTTTGAGCTACAGTTTACCCGTGTCCCTGGAAAACTGCCTGACCTGCTTCTTTTTAAAAAAAAAAAAGAAAATAACACTAGAGCAACACTATTTAGTTTCCATTCAGAGGAGAGGAAAAAAAAAAAAGGAAAAATCAGAGGGAATGCACCGTCTTCGTGCTCTGCAAACAGGGAGCAATGACAGCCTCCAAAGCGCTCCTGAAACACTGATCCTGACCCAACGAACCTTTACCTA